TAGACGATCTTGGTGTGAAGTCTAAAGAAAATGTAAATTACTGAAAAAGAATGGTTAGTTTTATTTTAAACTAGTTAGTTTTAAAATTTTTAAATTCATATTTATCTAAGTCATCGGGAAAGAAGCCATGAGGGAAAACATCGTGAATAGCATCTGATGTGGTTAGTATTTTTGCTAGTACGCGTATGATGTTTTTAGTTTGGAGCAATGGGCAAAGCAATTGAAGTGCTTTTATGGTTTTTAGTTCTTCGGTGCCTACTGCAAATTCATGAGGTGTGTTCTGAATTAGATTGTAAATTTTGTGATTATATTTAATGTTGTGGATGAATTCTAAAATGGGTACTTCTATAGGTTGAATATATTCATGCGGGACTATTAGGTGTCGGGATTCTTCTTCGTTGAAGGTCTTGCTGAGCGGACAAAATATATACATCTGGGTGATTGGGTCGTAATTCCGGAGGATGCCTTGAAGGTTAGTATTTTTAATACAATACGTGAAGTTTAGGAAAAACGGTGAGGTGTATTTAGAATTTTTGAATTGAAATCTGTAGAGGGGTTGTTGTGATGGTGTGTTTAAATTAAATTGATTCTGGATAAAACGATAATAATTGTAGGTGTGTGTTTGTTTAGTTCTCAACATGATGTCGTGTGAACAGTTCGAATCACGTTCTTTTGGTGTGAGAAGATGAAGGGTTAGTGAAAATGTTTGAAACTTTTCGTGAACTGATTCGTATGCTTGAATGTCTGATAATGCTTCTGAAATAAGGTGATCATGCTTTTTATCTAGTATGCTAAGTGTGAATAAATAGGGTTTTTCATGAAAAATTTTTCTGTTCATTTTGGGTTTGCAAATTGATCGTCGCCAAGAAATTGATCTTGATTAGATCTGATGATGTTATGATCATAATATTCATTTGAATAGTCGTTAGCTCGGGGTGCAGTGAATGTTTTTAATAACTTTTTATATCCTACCTATGTAAATTGTCGGGGAGTTAGTGACGTGGTTAGTCTAAATAATTCGCTCTTATTTCTCTCAATATCTTTTGTGGTGTTGAGGGGTGGTAGTGCAAGAGAATTAGTAAAATTGTAATAAGCTGTCCAATGAAGTGTGGGTATTAACACACGTTCATCTACAAAATGATGTGGTTCAGGGTTAGGGTCGGATTGATTTAGTGTATATTGGGGAAAAAAAGGTAGGGTTATTTGAAGATAATTTGTAGTATTGGTGTGGTCTGGATGGTTAACGTATTCTCGGGTGGTTCCGGGTTTGGATGGGAACGGGTGATTTGGGAATTTACGTTTAAAGGTTCTATAAGCTCGGTTAGTACTAGTGGATGTTTCTGTTGATGTGGATGATTGAGCTAATGATGGAGTATAATCTGAAATTGGTGTAGGTGTTGGTGGATTTGATGATGTTATTGTTGATGATAGTTGGTGAATTGTGAGAGTGTGGGGAGATGGTAACTGTTGTTGGAGTGTTATAAAACTATCTAGTTCTTCAGAAATTTGAAGATTATCAGGGGAATTGTTGATTGATCGTTCATAAATAAATGGGGAGTAGGTTGGGGTTACTTGAGAAGGAGTGTAGGGAGATGTACATTGGTTTTGAGGTTGAATGGGTCAAAAGGGGGTTTTTGAGAAGTTTGAAGAGTTGGTTTGGGTATGGGTAGAAGGATATGGTTCGGAATCTGCCAATTCATCGGGAGTTTCTACAGCGGAGTTATTGAAATGTGATATTGTTTGAAAAATTGTGATGTCTGAGTTAGTATCAGAATTCATGCCTGATGATGTATTAGTTTGTGGTGAATCAGGTGGCGGAAAAGCAAAAAGTGGGATAAGATGGATTGGATTTTGAAGATTGGCAGGGTGGGAGTTTGATCGATGCAGTGATCCAATTTGTCTGCTCATAATGGGCTAAAAAAATATAATTTTTTGAGATTGAAAAGTAGTGGTATGGGGCTGTTCAATGATTTGTTCATATGTATCGTCATTTTGGGGGGTGTTGTGTCACTGTATGTTGAATGGGGCTTTGTATTTGGCTTGGACTTAAATTTGGAGGGTTTGTGGTTGCTAAGTTTCTTAAATTTCGTGAAACTAATGATAAGGGATGCTTATGATGTAGATTTGGTAAATGTGGTGCTGTAGGTAATGCATTCGTTTTATTGTTTGATTCGTCGTATGTGTTCGAGTTTGTTGATAGTTTTGTATTCTATTCTTTGATTTGTGCATCTAAGAGGATTTTATTTATTGATGATGAAAATATTCCAAAAAATCCTGCAAATAATATGCGTGCTACGCTTGCTTGTAGGTTTACTTGTGTATGTATTGCGCATGTGTTATAGATTCCTTTTAGTAATGAGAAAAGAAATCCAATAATATTTTAAGCCTAGCGTATAAGATAATCAACCATTCTAAGATGTATTTTGGCGATCCTAGAAAGCAAGGATTTCGTTTTTTAAGGTTACGAAGCTAAAAATATATATTGGTGATATATCTTGTTGTCTATATTTTTCTGGTTTTT